AGAATTCAAAATAAAAACAACCTCTACCAAATAAACCTAGAGCAAAGCTTTATCTCTTACCTGCCGACATTAAAACAAACGCAGAAAACAAAGCTATCTCATCTTCTGTCAGGTGCATAGAACATAAACTTTTTCCAAATTCAAACACAAAACTAATGAAGTCTTCACAACCTGCCAAAAAGAAGGTACAGCTCATGCCACATTGTTTAAAGCTACTTCAGAGCTACAGAGTTGTTGATTTATTCTGATGGAAGTGAAAAATGGATGTAAAATACTTCATAGGTGAATGGTCGTCTCCTTAAGGACTGTGGAGTGATGGTAGTGAGATCTCACTCATGCTTGAGCTTTATACCCCATTCCCACGAGTCCCCAGCTCCCACACCCTGCCAGCCAGTATGTTGAAGGTTTTGCACACTGTATCTTTTCCACATTTGGTTCTTCTGGGATAAATACGGATAAAGCCCAAGCCATTTTCAAGCTCAAAATTGGTTTAGCTTTGTTTCTGTTCTAAATGGAACTTTCTCATGTCACTGTGGACTGGAGGTTTCGAACGTGTACTTGAAAAGTGCTGATTTTAAGACTATTGAGTACACAGAAGAGGGAGGGGAGAGATGCATACAAGGTACATGCAGGAGCAAAGGGAGAAGCCAAGGTCTGAAAGCTTTTCATGCAGAAAAGGAACTCTGTCTCCTTTCGTCCATTCTCTTGCTCACACAGGTGTAAGTCAGGTTACTGCTGCTGTTACACATGCTGTTACGCGGTTTGCGGCAGTGGAGCCCTGCTCTGAAGGGGATTGCAACCTGATGGAAGAGGGCTGTTCTCTGCAGATCTCAGCCCCAACCCAGCCTAAATTTCTGGATGTAGTTGGTAACAGATTAAAGTTATGTTTCATTGGAACCCACATCTGATACTGCATCCTCTGAATTGTTTGCAGTCAGACCTTGTACCTTGAGGTGTTTTAGAAAGGCAGAGAATACTTCAGTAATTGTACAGCATTCTCTGCTGCTGTATTTTCACTGCCCTCCAAAATGGCTTACATCCCAAGTCTATACCCAGTGAAATGCATCCTTTTAAAATTAGCAAAAATATACAGAAAAATTTTTCAAAATTATGAACTGCAGTTTAATATAAAAATTGATTTACAGTATTTTGCCTGGAAATAACTGGACTTTGCATATTACAAAACACTACTAACATCTTCAAAGCAGTAACGTCAGTCTATCCAAAATTAGCTTAAAATCTGCTGCCCTTTCCAACAGGATACATAAAATGTTACACTAGATATGAAATCTGGGCTTCTGTCCTTAACAAGTGTGTCCAAACTGCTCTACCCCGATCTAAGTGTTGAATTTCAACACCAACAGTCCTTTACTGCATGGAGTTAAGCTGTTTTAACTCCTGGAATCAGCTTGGCCTCAAACAGAGCCAGCATGACTGCTTGCAAAATAAGCAGTTTGAGCTTTGGAACTCTTTTATTTGAATACTATAGCCTGAATTTTTCAAAGCAGCTGTCCCCTTGCTTTTCCACCTTATTATTTTTATTCTGTTTTTTTAAGGTACAACACTTGACATTTCCTTACCTAAGGACTTGAAAACCTCTGGGCTAGCATACTTGCCATCAAAGTAGACTGTGTTGTTCTGGGAGTCAAAGGCACGGCACATTCTGATGAACACAACCTCTAAAGACCCTAAAACAGAAACAATGTATGTTTGACTATTGAAGTAGAGACTTCAGTTGCAAAGAGCAAGTGAGGATTTAAAAATTTCCTATGCTCTGCCTTCAAGTATCAATCGAGTAGGGTAGTAGGTTTCGGTGGTGTAACAGAGCATAGTTTGATTTGCCAGTAGAATTAAAAGAATTCCCATAAACCCCTTTAGAAATTTTTGCTAAAGCAACTTAGTTAATGCTAATAAAGTCCAGTAATTTTTTATTAGAGTAATGAAGTCTCTGAAGTCAAAGCAGCTCATTTAGATTTATGTTCACGAAGCTTTGACAACTTTGTCCAGTATTTGTACTTCTAAAACAACTCGCATAGAACAATCTGGATTTTTACCTTGAAATAGGTTGTTCACTATTAGTAAGCCAAATAAAAAATTTGAATCCAACTTTTCCATCTTTACACACTCATTGCTCCCTTTGTTCATAATGGAAATTTCATACGTAGACTTGAACTCGTTCTACGCAGAGCAACTAAGAAGGTATAGTACTTCAGACAGACACAGACAATTTGTAAGGGTTTTCCCCTGTATTATTTTAAATGATCGTTGTACAACATATGCATATATGTGTATACAGTCACCGTATACAGGTAACACCTTCCTCAGTCAAAACTAATAGAAGCAGACCTTAAAACTGACCCACATACCTGCTTTTAAAAGCACAATTTGATCGTTTTGACACAGTTCCATAAAGCCATCAATGCGTTTGGCAAATTCCACTACATACTGTATAGCTTCTGTTATTTTGACTGCGCATAACTGCCACATTACCTCCCTTTGCTGTTTGAGAGAGAAGAAAAATTGAAAAATTACTAATCAAGGTATGGAAAGCCCATTTTCATAAAGTAAAACTGAGCTGAAAAAAAAAGCGGAGTGAATTCCCTCCAGCACTCCTGCCTACAGTCTGCTGATAAGACAAGGGGAATTAACCTCAAAGCCAAAGCCTCATGTGGATGAGTGACAATGCAAACACGTAAGACTTCTTCAGCGATCTCAGAAGAGATCCAGGTTGGAGTGTTTTTACTTCATAAGCCAAAAATGTCAAAGTATAACGATTCTGGTGATTTCAGTGGGAATTTTATTCACTGCATCAAAAGAAAATGCCAATTTATGCTAGCAGTGTATAATCACATTTTTCCTACCAACTTCTGTATTTTGTACTGAATGTAAATTATCTAACTAGCTCATCCTCATAAAGATACATATTAAGATATACTTATATGAAGACCATCTCATTGACAACATAAAGAAGGCATGCAAGTAGGCATTTTTTCTTATGTTGATAATAATTCAGAATGAGTTTACCTAACGGGTGGAAAAAATGATATTCTTAAAGGCTAAATATTTTGTTGTGGAAATGAAAAATATGTTCAAAGAACAGTGTGCTCTAATAGTGCGCTTCCCAAGACAGTTTTCCAAAAGTAGCCATTTGGTAGTAGTTTGTGGATGGAAGGCATATTGGAAATACAACCATCGATTAAATCTTACAATACCCACTGGTGGTACAGCAGCAGTGTGCTGCTATTCTATAGGTAAAACTGAAACACTGAGTGACAATTGTCGAATGAATCAGGATTACAACCAGGCATTGAAGGCTGGAAATCTGACAGAGTTCTGTGTTTGTAAGCTCAAAACAAAACACACCATGTAAAATTACAAAACTTGGTGGCTTCAGCTTTTTTTGGTGGTGTTGCTGATCCGGGAGATTACAAATTAAGAAATGAAAATAACGTGCCATTTAGGATTGAAAAAATTTCTCTAGTTTCTTATCCTTGTTTATCAGTCACAGACAGATAGATTTTAGGAGTATGGCTTTGCCTTTTCCTGTACCTGTAAAAATCACAAATGCAAAGGATATCCTAACCGTCCTGCCGCTTTTGATTCTAGCGTATTATTTTTTTGAAAACACACAGAAATATACATTCCTGATAGTAAACAGAAAGCAGTGAAAAAGTGCATTTTGCAGTGTGTTATGGAAATACCATGCTTTAAAAAAAGCATGCCATAGTTTGGCATGCTTTTATACCTTGTTCTGATAGTTCTCAATTTCTTCCTGCAGAAAAGTCTGCCATGTTATCTGCTGTAGCTCCTCTCTCAAGTACTGGCAAGTTTCCATGTGTGACTTGGAAATATTCTGTGCAAGATGTTCTAAAAGAAAGACCAGAAAGTGACACATGTTAAAAAAGCAAAGCTATACCTTCAGACATGAGAAAGATAACATATTCCAGTATGAAAATAAACACATCTAATGCCAACCGCTAACAGACTCGAGGAAAACAAAGCAGAAACCTGGTTCTTGACACAGCTGGCCCGGCTCCTCTGGCGCATCCGTTAGAGGGCACTCCGTGCACACACACGCGCCCCGCTCGCCCTCTCGCAAAGCAGGTCTGAGATTTTAATGCAGGAACACCAAGCAGAGTCCTTCCACTACGTTATAAGATGTTTAGGTGAACTTGAGTTTATTTTTGAATAAATAAACTTCTGCTGGGGACAAACTTCTCTCTCACACAGCAGTGGGTGCGCAAGAAAGCTTGCAAGATCAAAATCTTGCAAAATAAAGGCAAACTTGGTGAAACCTGGGAGCATTCGAACCATTGCAAATTCAGTAAGTGGCCTTGCTGCCTTTAGTAAGGTAAAGACAGCTTTGAAACCTGGACTGAGAATTACACTATGAAGTAGAGCCATAGGAGAAAAATCCAAATGAGCGAGGTGATGGACCCCTCAAGTTAAGAGTACTAGAATCTCTGTGGGGACAGCCTTGCTGAAGACAGGACACTATGTATCATGTGTAGGGAATATAGCACTGCCAACCAGGCAGTAGATCTTCAAAAGCTAAAATCATTTGCGTTTTATACAACAGAAGCTTTCTAATAAAGAAATACAGATAGTTACAACCTACAGATAGTGAGGCTGCCCGTGAGGGAAAAGTTTCGTTTCTTTTCTACTCTCATATCATTAAAAAAATACTGGGAAAATACACTTATTAGAGAATCCAGATAATTAATATAACACACTGAAGACTCAAAGGTCTTTTTTCCTCAGCTTTAGAGTAGTTGCTTAGTTAACTGCACATGATTTAAAATTTCCATACAACATTTTACTTCCAAATAAGCTATTTGCTGCTGCTATACTTGGTTAAAAGACCCGTAAGGCAGATTTATATTTATTAATAAAACTTGATTCCATAAACCTTTAGGAACACCTTCAAAAGCATGAACAGCATTTCGACATCAGAATTCCACTTCTACTTTGTCTTTCTCTTTTCTACCCTGACTCTTCACAGGCGTCTGTTCTCCTATTTTAGCACGTGACAAGTAGAGGCCTGGTGACTTGTCACACAATTCTGCAGCTGGTGCTTTTGCAGGTTAGGCCACTGAAAAGGAAGGCTTAAAATGAACAAGAACGGTGGTCATTAACAACATGGGAGTATTCTGAGGGACTCGTGCGTTGGGTCTTCTGTGAAACTTGCTTTGTTTAATAACGACCAAACCCAACTCTTCAAAATTGAACTGCTGGACCAATCAGTCTGTTTAGTATCATACTTACTGCATTAATAGTTTGATATAAGATACCACCTGGAAAGTATTTAGCATACAGCTGAGGTAAAAGCAGATTATATGCACTACCTGAGCAATCAATAATGTAGATTATATAAAGTCGCTTATACTTTGGTTGTCATCATAGCTTTCATGTATTTCAGGGCAATTTTTTTTTTTCTTTACAAGTGTGTACTTAAAACACTTGCTCTCACTAGCAGCAACTGACAGCATTATACCTGTGCCCTTGCAGGATACCGAAGGTGAAATATTACTGTGTTATTCACAAACCTCAGCCTCAGTTCTGGACTGTATTTCAGCACACACCTAAATACTTTCATTGAACAGCCACACCTTTCTAAATTGAAACCTTAGTCTGGAAGACAAACATTCTTCAAACATTGTTTGGCAATGTCAATGCTGGGCACCCAAATCACGCTCTGTAGGGCTTAAATGCAAGCACTATGTAAATAAAGGTAAGCAACATGACAAACTTATTTTAGGCCAGTGTTCCAAACTCAACACCTGGCCTAGGAAGGAAAAGCCCTTTCTTTTTCCTGTGGGTTTAATGCAGATCTTTTAATAACTCCCACGAGAATATTAACAACCCCTTGATTGAGACAAAGCTGGTAGCATAGCCTTTATCCTAATTTTTCTTCTCATTTTTACTTATCTGTACGTGATGTTATTTGAACTCAGGCCAGACACAATATTTTGGCTGTCACAACAAATTATATCACAGAGAACTGCATTCTGCAACATAAGGACATTAAAAAGTAAGCCTTCTTGTCCCTTCCCCTCTGCAAAATTTCTCAAAAGAACATAAACTACAATAATCCAAGCAAAATTTCGTATCATGTACTTGCCTTTAATTAAAAGAAGTTAGCAAAAAGAGAAGAATTTAACTTGGAATACCTGATTTTTCAAACTATTTTTAGGTTTTCATAATGGAATAATTCGCAAAAATGTTGCTTAAGCAAGCAAAATCACTGTTTTAAACGCCTGACTGCTTATATAAGTAATAGACTCTTAAAGCCACTTCTCTAATGTCCTGTTCCAGTTTGCTTATAACCAGTTCACACAGCACGCTCTAACTCGAGTCTCGGATGTTGACAAGTCATAGTTGTGGAATTCAGCCCCAGTGTAATCATTGAGGGAAGAGTTTAAAGTAAAACGTGCTCGTTAATGTGGTCCTTATAAGGCTCTTAGAGAAAGTATCAAAACTTGCTACATTCAAAAATTTTCTGATGTATCTGGGGCCAGATTCTCTTCAACCAGTGGCAAGGAGAACTGCCCTCAGATTAGACCGGTGCTTTGGTTTCATATTTCCCAGGTACAGGTGAAGAGTGGAAGAAAATCAGCCTCATCACTTTTTGTTAGAAAATAAGAGTACTGAGGTAATGAAAAAGAAGATAAAATGTTCAAAAATAATCTGCAAATTACGAAATACTCTGTTTGCTCAGCACTAAAAATTAGCTTGTTAATCAGTATTCAAAGGGTTCTATTACAAGGACTGAAAAGAAAAGCAACACTACTAGAGCTGATCAACCACAAGATCCTGGCATTTTTAGTCCAGTTCCGTAAGGTGTTCACCATGTACCCCCGGTTAGGGTACTGTGCACTTCACAGAAGAATGCCCATACATGCTCACGGCTGTACTGAAGCAGCATTCTCACTATCAGCTGCCTAAATGTGTCACTTTAATCCAAAGGGTACTATTAAGACAATTACAATGGAAGCTTTTCTCTCTCATTACCTAATTCTGCCATGGACACAGTTGGAGAGGTCTCCCCATTTGTAAAAGAACAATAAGGGAAGAAGCCCGATGCTGGTGTGTAGTCACATATTGGTTCTGGTTTGATTCCATTAATATCAAGACCCGACTGATCTGGAGAAGGCTGTATGTCTAAGTAGAAGCTGCTAACTGCAGAGTCTGCTTTGTACCCCCGTAGGGTACTGTGCACTTCACAGAAGAATGCCCATACATGCTCACGGCTGTACTGAAGCAGCATTCTCACTATCAGCTGCCTAAATGTGTCACTTTAATCCAAAGGGTACTATTAAGACAATTACAATGGAAGCTTTTCTCTCTCATTACCTAATTCTGCCATGGACACAGTTGGAGAGGTCTCCCCATTTGTAAAAGAACAATAAGGGAAGAAGCCCGATGCTGGTGTGTAGTCACATATTGGTTCTGGTTTGATTCCATTAATATCAAGACCCGACTGATCTGGAGAAGGCTGTATGTCTAAGTAGAAGCTGCTAACTGCAGAGTCTGCTTTGCTACCTTCAGGGGTATGCCCATCAATGTAATTACTGAGGTCATCATGTAGCTCTGTTAACCCATTGGTGGTGATATTGTATGTTGGTGTTAGTGGTTCTGCCTCTCCTGGTTGCTGCTGATGATCTCGCTGCTGCTGCTGCATTCGATGTTTCTGCACCTCCGCATACAGGCTGTCCCTCTGCTTTTTTGACATTCGACCAAACTTTACAGCTGAAATACAGACACACAATATATTACATTTCTACAAATCCACTACTGCATTCTAATTGTCTTGGGTCTTTAAATACTACATGTAAGGACACAGTCTAAAAGGCAAACCAGCAGGATGGGCAGACCTAAGAATCACTTCTGTCAGTTACAGGTAACATAGCTGCAGCATCTACTCTTTAAAAGACCATTTTAACATGCTACTTAAATGGACCATTAGAAGTCACCGTTTTAGCTTAATTCATTAACTTTCCACTTCTATGCTGAAAAGATTTTCTCTTATATATCTACCGCAGTTGACAGATGCATCTCTTCAGCATTCAAATCCTACCTGGAAAAGTAGAAGCTAAACCAGAATATGCTGGCCTGAGATGAACTGTCCAATTCCTACTACCTGTATATTCATACTACAGAGTGAACCTAGAGTTAGGTATAAACATATGGGGTCTATCTCAAAGAGTACCAAAAGCAAACTTTATTGATATTAGGACCGAAGCACAGTGGAAGAACCACAGAACCTGCTTGCAGTGCAGCTTACTGTGACAAGCAGAAATGTTTACCCGGTGAATTATTGTTAAAACTATATGTATGTGTGTGCGCGCACGCGCGCGCATGTGTAACTCTCCACAAAATTATTACTACTTTGAGAAGTATCACTATTAAGCGTAAGCCAGAAGCAACTGGTTTGGCACATCCAGGGAATTCCTGAGAACATGGTATGTGATTTCTGGGACCTGTATCAGCTGTAAAAGCCTCGTTGTTTAGGAAGATGGCTACCACCTTGTGCTTTTCTACAGGAAAGCAAACATGTCGGAGGGACTAGTCATTACACGATCATCCGTTTCAGGTTTTTAGTTTCATGCCCAATAAAAAAATTAAGACATCGTAATTCAAGAAGTAAATGCAATCTGAACATGATCTCGTTAATTGGGCCTCATGTACATAGAGTAATGCGTATGTATTTGTAGAACATGTAGCGTTGCTGTCGCTATTGCAGGGGAAGACTGAGTCAGACCTTCAAACTGGGGAAGCGATGGCAGCTTTATTACATCTGTGGGGGAGGTGTGCAAATATCAGCTGCAAATCCAGTTCTAATTGAGTTACATAAGCTTCCATTTTACAGAGGTGGGTTTTCGTCATTACGCTAGGTGTAATCTTGAGCTTAATATTAACAGCACTGGAACACATTTTCTTCAGAATTCTATCTTTGAAGAAACACTGCACTGTTTTCTCTTTGCATTTTTTCCATTATTCATTATACACACGCTTAAACTTCTCTATATATTGTGAAACAGTTCTGATCTGTAGCAATATGGCAGAGTGTTACTTCCAACTATAGTATGTCACTTAAATTGGAATGAACACATAGAAAAAGTATTAACATTAGACTAAAAAATGCATCTTCAAGAAGTGACCAGAGGCAAAGCTCTTAACTGGGAACTATAATAGATGAGTAGGAAACAAAATAAATCCAAGAACTTCATACATGCCCTGATTTATATATATTTATGTGAATACATAGCACCATATGAAAACCACTCAATGATCTCAACTATCAGCCGGATGTACAATTAACTTTCAAATCCTACGTTGTTTTAGTTGAACACACAGTATACTAAACATTATTTTACTTTTTGCAATTAAGCTATGTGTTAGCAGAGCTTACCATCTCGAGACATCCCCACAGCAAGGCATTTCTGTAATCGACAGTGCTGGCAGCGGTTTCTACTAGTTCGGTCAATCAAACAGTTCTTCTGACGAGGACAGGAGTACGTAGCGTTGCTTTGCTGACTCCTCCTGAAAAAGCCCTGTAATAGAATTGCAAAATACAAATCAAGAAGCTGTTAACTGGTGGAGCAAATAAAGACTCTGAAAGGTAGCATACCTAACAGAAAATGAAGTTCAAGTGCACTATAGTCAACTAAAGGAAGTTAAGAGGTGGATTTTTTTTTCTCTCCTAGAAGCAAACAAAAACCAGTAACTAGTAGGAAACAATTCATAAAAAAGTGTTATGACACATAAAGGAATTACACATTTTTTCACCGATTTTACAGATCCCATATTACATATGGTACACCGATTCTTCCCAAATGTGATAAAACTAACTATAGATCTGGATTTCCTTGATTTCCTATCTTTCCTGGGTCAGCACAGATCTCCAAAACAGGGAGGATTCAACGGCTAGTGAAGTCAACAGCTGCTACCCTGTTCTGCTCTTTGGGGATGACCATAGCAGGCTCTGATGTTCAGCCTCACCAATGTATGTATGTGTTTAAAAATACAGAGCATGATGCTGAGCAGTTCCTTCTACAAAGAACAATGTTTTAAAATATTTTTTCTTAATTAGTTTGATGCTGACAACCAAGGTTTTGTTCAACTCGGTGCAGGATTTAGATTTCTAAGGAGGGGTGAAGCCGAAACAGATTTTATGTGTTCTCTCTTTTCTGAGTGAACTGCAATGGGTAGACCCATCTCCAAAGGAAGTTAGTGCTGGAAGGTTACGCAGTAGTTACAACTTCATTCTCTCCATCAGAATGGTGCATGTTATTAACCACTATGCCAGCTGTTTGCTTTGAAGTTCATTTCATCTTTTTGCCACAGACTGTCCAAACATAAGCTGGTGCGTGTGTAATACCTACTTCACAAGGATTCTGCGAAGATGTAGTCATTCTAAAGAGGCATTTGAGATCAGCGAGCACAGTATTTTAGTTTTATGTTGCCACATAATGGATTAATTAACAGTGCTGCAAAGAAAATACTTCCTCAGAAAGGCTGGGCACCTTTTAATTAAAGCTGGACTTTTACCAATTTTTTATTTATTTGAAGGCCACATTCTGGAGTCCCTCGGCACATGACTCTGTCCAGACACTTGGTGAAATAAACAACAGGAAGGACTTCTGCATGACAAGCAAGAGATTTCCTAGCAAACCTCCTGCAGACAGAAACATGACAAAACACTGAGATAAAGCCCCCTGCTCTATCTTATGAGGAGGGCACCAGTCTCCGTCGATTATACCCCTTTTATTAAAGCTTTAATGGGGAAACATGGGAGTACAAAAAAAACCCGAGGAAACTGAAGATGCCTGTCTTTAATCCTGTTTTCCTGTACATTGTTTCTCACCCATTTATTCTGGTCTTTGTTTCTCTATGATTGAACTTTCAACTGTTTTTTAATGTTTGTCAATAGGGAGATGATCGTCCCTGAGACTGAAAGTATTGCACATATTGAGCTCTGATGGAGTGCATTTCACCCTAAAGAAAACCTGAAATACCATGGGAATTTCTACATTCCAACATCATGACTGATCCCTCTGGAAGAACCAACTCTTAGGTAAGTAGATAGCTTAATTTCCAGTTCTGTTAGCACCCTTAGTGGAGCCTGTCACTCCAGTGCAAGTACACATGCAAATGCAATGCGATTCACTAGAAAAACAGGATTAGGTATCGACCTGACCGGTGACTTACTGATCAAGGTTCTGTATCTCGGCATTATCAGTCCCTTAAAATTTCAGTTCTCCAAACACTTTAAGAGTTGCACTGAATGACATGCTCACATATGAACTGTATGAAATCTTCTGCCACCGCTGAGATCCCGAAAGTCAGCTTAATCGATGTGTAAAGTGAACCTGGCCCAATAACCCCAAAGATCTATACGTTTTCCTTTAGCTGGGACATATACTGAGTCTGTATTGCCAGTTTGGCATATTTCTCTTTATTAAGAATATTCTTGTCAAGCTGAGGATTATTTTTAGTATTATAATGGAGAAAATACTGGGCTGTTTGCTTTTCCAGATTTTCCCTAGAGACACAGCTGCTCAATACATTTTAGCGTACAATATAGCAGCTAAGTTACAGCTTGAAGCTAAATTTTCAATAGAGCAGAACTGCCTGAAACTGGGGCCTTTAAAAGCACTTGCACTTTACAAACCGGAGATGTAGTAGAGTGCTTTTAAAAACAAACCCTACAACGTTATGTGGGCATGTTGAAAACATCAGCGGTAGCTAAAGCAAAAAAACCCTTGCCTCAAACTTCAGAAATGAATCTACACTTGTGCAGAGCTCAGAAATAGGTCAGAAATCCGAGATTTGGGATTGAATTGACAATGAAGTTAAACTGAGTGTCTTTTACTCTCAAAGTTCTTCTATATTGTTGTCATTTATCTGTGAGTTTTCTAACCTTTTGGGGGTCCTTGGGCTCCCGTATCATTGTAAGACATGTGGGAAAGCCCCTATTACAGGAGCCTTCTGAAAGTAAATATAGTTTATTCCTCGGTTGGGTTTTTCCCCCTTTTATTAGAAGAAGAGAGAGATGCTGTATTCTGTTGTTCTATTTCCTCTCTTTTGCCAGAGGCCCAGAACTAGCTATAATTTTTCCACCAGGAAGGAGGAGGTGGATGCATGCAGGGTACACGTGTATACATTCAAGCATTATGCAAACCAGCCCAGGCCACATGCTCTTAATTGCATGCATGTTCACAACCATTATTTCACATTCAGACGATTGCCTAACGCGCCACAGGCAGAGTGGACCCCTCTTGATCAAACACACAAACAAAACTACTCCTGCACTGAAAAACATCACCGTGTTACACCACTCTGACCGATGGCATGGCCTGAACCAAGGTCTCTGGTAGAGAGCGCTCCTGTGAGCGCATGGAGCCCTGCCGCTGTCTGATGTCAGTATAAAGATCCAGCTGATTTTGATGAGGCGTCGTTGAGCTCTGCATGTCTCCCTTTTTATGTAGATGTATTAACACAGTGCCAGAAGAAGAGTAGAGCAGATTACAAGCCATAGCTTCATCTCTGCATTTCAGACTCCTATTTATATACAACACAATATATGGTTTTTCATATGCTGCCAAGAAATCAAGTTTGGGAAAAAAGGGCGCAAGAACTTTTCATCTGCAAGTCAGTTTGAATAACAACTTGTTAAAAAAGAACTTTGAAATGTAAATAGCAGTTTTCGCAAAGTCTATTAATAGTTTCAATAACTTCACTGCTCAGTGGCTCGGTATTACAGATGTTTGTGTCTAAGCTTGCTCCTTAGGAGGGGAAAAGCCAGTTGTGCTTCCCTGATGTCCCAAATGGCACAGCACAGACTCCCTCTCCACTGCGGCACAGGCTGAAATGCTGATCTCATGTTTGGTCTTTTGACAAATTTTCATTTAATGAATTGATTCCTACAGTTCATTAACATACCCACTTCCACTTCTGTATACACATATGTCTTAATTAGCTGCTCATTGGCTGTTTAATTACAAGAAAACAGCTGACAGCTGCCTTGCTGCATCCTAATGGCAGACGTTTTGGAATGACTGTATGCAAGCCTGTGACAACAAAGGCTTATTCATAATCTCATGATTTATGGCTAATACTTAAAGACTTCCACGTATCATTAAGTTTTGCAATATTCTGAGCCATCAACAATTAGGTGGGGAGGGTTCATTCTTTTACTGTTTTCTAAAGCAAACTATTGCAAATTTTCTTCAAAGAAACATCAGAAAAATACACTGTCATATGAAAGACAGGTGAACATTCAAATTGGATTTTTAACCCTTTTTGACAATGAGCACCTATTTTAGTTGTAAAGGGAGCAGAGTGCTGCGACAATATTGTTTAGTAAACTTTGTTAATAAAGTATTTGATAACAAAGTTATAGCACCACTGAAAACAGAGAAAAAATGTTCAGTTTTACATATGTAATAAAGACAGGAGTGAGATTGTGTTTACCAGGTTATACAAGGCTTCTGACTAGCCCTTTCTGTAACATGGCTCATCTCTTTTCTAACATGTTTTGCTTGAAATTGGCTAGGCAAAAAATTAAATAAAGAAAAACTTCAAAAGCATGAATTCAAGGGAGATGTTTGCAACGCCAATATGACACTCCATGTTCAGTAGGAGTAATGAAAAATTGGCTAGCAAAGTGAATGAATGAAACGAATGAACAAAAGTAATGCAAGATGGGAAGTGACAATACACCAGGTTTCTGAAGTAACGAGCACGGACATTCCTTGTAGTTAAAATGAACAAGTACATCTTAGATCTTGAAAGACACAAGAGACAAAAGCCGGTACCTACAAACCTTTGAAAATATGGTAAAAGCCCAGAAATGCCCTGCTTGGATGGTTTTATGAGACCAACTGTGTACAGTCAAGTAAAGAGAGGGATCCCACTAATGCATTTGTGAGTCAGGTGGGCATGAACTGACACTATTGACAGCAAAAGCAAGTAACTGCATCTGCAAATTAAAAGACATAGTTTATTCACAAAAACTTCATTTCAAACTAGATGCAAACTAGATTGCTATGTCCTTTTGAAGCATTCGGGTATTTTCTGACAGTGCTGAACTGGATTCAGCTTGCAGCTATGAGAAAAGAATATAGATGTGTACAAACCAGTCTCCTTTCTCAGCATGGTCCCTAATACAGAGCAAAAGGTTGTTAACGGGTTCCCACAACTAACAGCTGAGGAAATGCTCCATACAGATACTAGTTTTTTCAGTAGTGCTACTACAATAGTACTATTTCCAATCTTACACAGGAGAATAAACTTTTATTTCTGAGTCGTGGTACAGTCTTTGTGTCATTCTTCATCCATACTTCTGAGTAAAAGTCTTATATGATTAATCTCATCTTCTCTTTTCCCCCATTATATGTTGTATACTGGGCATCAGCGATGGTCGGATAGAAAGAAACCTCTCTTAAAATTTATTTTATTTATAATAAGCCACAGGAGCCCTCCTAGATAAAGTATAAAACAGAGCCTGGCTCAAAACTTTTTTTTTTCACTAGGGGGGAAAAAGAAGAGGGGGTATTAAATTTTATTTTTTAAAGGCAGATTCAAATTCAGCTAAATAGGTTGATGGGTTGGGAGTACTCAATGATGTTGGTGCAAAACATAGATACTAACTTCATAAAAACAGCCAGTAACATCATAGCAAGGTAGGAAATGAAAACTTCTCAAGAAACACTAATTGGCTTTATTACAAATCTTCAATTCTACTTTTATGAAATGCAATGTAACAACAAAAACTGGTCAGAAAACTTTCAATTATGTGAAATGCAAGGGTCACAAACCTGTAGAAGAGCAGCAGCATCAGCAAAAGTCAATTTGACAAGAGCTTGTCTGTGATTGCATACATGATACAGATCAAGATTGCAAAGTAGGTCTTTGCGACTAAAACGTCACTTTAGGTTTTAAACAAATAGTATTTCTGGTAGTTATTAGTATTTAAACATAAGTAACGTTGAAGTTCACATCAAACTGGAGTGGAAAACAGAAAGGGCTGAAAACATTCCACTTTGCTGCTGCTGCTGCTATTGCTGCCTGCAGCTCATTCTTGACAGGCCTGGCTTGAGAGGGCAGCAGCACATCTGTTCACTTCTGATGACTAAGGCCCTGATCCTGCAATCTGATGCACATGGATAGGTTTGTAGCACCTGTGCGGAACCTCACCGACTTCTCTGGGACTGTCTGTTGGTGCAGGACATCGGCTCCAGGAATCGGAGCGCAGGACTGGGAACTAGGTCTTCATAGCAAAGTACTTTTTACAAAAGAAGGTTTAGCGTAACATGAAGAGCAATCTAAGCATGCTCAAACCTGCAGAGATCATAGCCACAGAAAAGCTGGGAAAAAAAACATACCAATACACACCTGGCTCATTTGGCAGAAGCCAAGCTATGCCAACATTTTCACCAGCCAAAATAGTTCTGTTGGGTGAGACTTTGTTTACATTACTGTGGAAGAGCGTAGCACAAACAAAATCCATCTGCTACAGTACGGCATTTTAAATGCTGTCTAGGCCGTGATCATTTAAACTCTTCCTGTGACTTGCGCCCACTAGCACTCCCCTATCTGTCACTGCTTGCAGGTCATCTGGGCTCTGGCATTAAAGAAGAGTGAGCTTCAGAGTTATTTTCCTCCTGAAAGGGAAATAACTTAGTTAACTAAGTTGATATCCACTGGCTTTAAAAATCTGCCTGAAATTGTATGGCCAGAAAACTTTATTCTGCTACTCCAAGAGAAGGAGAAAATGCCTAACCATTCATTGGGCCACTGTCTTATTCATGCACTCTGCTTTCAAGGTTCAAACGGGTTTCAGTGTGCTGAGCATACTTGCCTGCTTGCCTTCCTTTCTGCCCTTTCCCACCAGCTGACCGTTCTGGTGGGATTCTCAGAAGCAGATCGAGGATTGCACAGAGCTCCCAGAGAACTCAATTTATATAGAATTCGAAGGAAAACTGTTTGTTCTGAAACGTAAGGAACTGCACACGTATTTCTCACTATCAGGCTAGCATCTGTTGTTCTGACTGCTGGAGGTACACAAAGGACTTTTTCTCCTAATAACTCACGTTTGCATTTATTCCTGGGAAAGTACAGTCACTCTGATGGAGGAATTCTCGATGGGTACGTCTGTCTCTTACCGCAGTGTTAAATGCCTACCAGCTATGTACTAACTAATGTGACTGCGAGTATGGCATGCTCTGTTGCTTCCTTCTGCATGCAGCCATCCTGCTGCTTTTGGTGGGGGCTTTTCTCACATACAGGCCTTTGGAGAAGGGAAGGCCGAAGACCTGCATGAAGATGAAGCAAAAGGTAATACGGCTGGCAACTCTCCTTTCCATGGCAGCCTGTTCCTGTTCTGCAACAAGCCATGTTGAGAAAGGCCTGTTTTCTGCATAGACAAGCGTTAGCATTATGCTAACCTCAGCCTGTTGACAACAACGTTCGTCATGGATCTTGAGGCAGTCTCTCAGGTATACTGGTCCCAGACAATTTAAGGATTAAAGAGGTCTCGGACCTTGAACATAACTTGATACTCTTTGACAAGACAGTCATACAGCAGAATTCTCACTGCAAATGTCTGCCACTTCACACAGCTGAAATTTGAAAGTGCTGATCAACCACATAAAGCTGAAAAAAGTAACCACTTTATTATCAATGCATTTTAAGTGCATTTCTTGCATTTTCCATAGCAACAGCAGTACAAAGGGCAGAAGGTGCTGTTCTGTATCATTCTAACATTCTTAGATTTTTCCTTTTTTCCCCCCTTCCTTCTTACCAATGCTTCCATGAGACTGAGAGAATGTGTTAATGAAAACACAAAAATCTTCCTTGGAAAAACACAAAAGACATCTCTATAACGTGAAAGCAAGGAAGTTACTTTTTGAAGGTGGGTGGTAGTATCAAGCAAGTCAGGAGAGCAGACTAAAAACTGTCATAAATATAAATTCATCACACCTGAAGTGTAGATTAACAGTGGAAAACATATCAGCATGGGATTGCAACGCATACATACATGAGGAAAGCAACAAGCTAGAGCACAGCTGTGCACACTGTGTCATTCCCAAGCTAGCGCTGTAATTCTGTACTAGTGATAAAAAGGAGTTATTAGCTTCACAGCACTCTGGCCTAGTGTTAGCGTTGTCTGATTTAATTATTCGTTGTGAGAGACAAACTAAACAAAATATAAATACTAGTGTAATCCTTGTTCACTAGAGTTACTGAAGGTACAAATCCAGGAAAAAATCCAAAGCCTAAACCTTACACAGCAACGGTTGCATTGCAAGGAATAGGCACTGCTTCCAGGAAGACCTGAGTATGCTTAACACCAGTAGCATGTGCTATTTGTGCAACATTATCTTCCATACCAAACAGAATAGATTTGTAACTGTAGCAGATTACAAAAGAAAACTGAGAAGCCTTGAGAGTTCTCACGTATTTCAACACAGCTTCTTAGCAATTTGCAAAGCAAAAATGGAGAGGGAGATTCAAGAAAGCCACAAACTCCCTCTCAAGTTAACCCACAGAATAGATTCTTTGTGGTATGCTAGAAGCGGATCATCTTTCTGTACCTCTTCTGCTTAATTCACAGAGCGACCATTTACAGGACACACAGCACAACTGCATGATTTTTGAAGCTTGTCCTGAAATATGCCTCTCTGTGTGTGTGACAAAAATGCCCTATTTAAAACCCAAATAAAACCAGTACTTCAGAATCCCCAATTGATTTCATATTCTTTGAAATAGAATCCACCAATCCAACTTTGGCACAATGCTTGCTCTTTAAAAAAGGAAGGAAAATAATCACTATCAAAAGGCTAAATGCTGTCTTAAGACTTAGTATTTCAGAAGCTTACCTTGCAGCCTTCACATGTAATGACACCATAATGGATTCCTGATGATTTGTCTCCACAGATCTTGCATGGAATAATTTCAATTTGAGCTGCAACAGAAGCACGCAACCAGTTAATTACATTTTCTTTTAAACACCTTATAAAAGCATTCCCTGATCAGCATTTGTACAGTGAAAACTAATAACCTGCTAAACATTATACTGCATTAACTATTCATTGCTGAACTGCAAGGGTCCCCTAGAGCTTTGGACTAAATTATGGCTGCTCGTTATATAATAGCTTTTGGGTTATTAAAATGGGTCATTTGAGAAGGTGTTTAAGAACCCCCAAGAAGGCTAGAATCAGCATTTCAAAGCCAAAAAGAATAGGAGAGTTCACATTTTGGCCAAAGAGCTACGACAACACTAGAAAGGTTTCTTCCAATCTTATTCCTGTGAGATCGTAAAAGGTAATTTTAAAGTTTGCCCTGCCTGAAAATGAATGCAACACCTTTACCAGTGGGGTCACCATCATGCCATCCAGTTCACGTGACTGGCCAATCCGAAAGAGAAGTAACAAGGTAAACAGCAACTACATTTTACACGAGAAATCCAAAATTCACATATCTGAATTGAAAGTGAATTATCAGTACATATTTGTATATTAGCTACCACAGAACAAACAAGGGAGGAAAATACAGCAGTATTCTAGTCAACTTACAAAAACAAAGGAGTCAGCGCAGACTGGAAAATGCCATAGAGATACGTGATATGAAAGCCCTAATTTTTTAAATTGAACTTCATACATATAAAACATACCTACTGAATTCAGTTTAGTGTGTGACAAAACTCTCTGCATCTATCTCTAAATCACAGCACCTTCCCATCTGAATACATGGATTTAAGAAGGGACTCCTGTAGGCTCGGGAATATCTCTTCAACTGCCTTTGGAGTATACGGCTGCAGTCATTTTGCTGGCAAGTCTTTTTGGATAGGACCGTGCTGAGGCAGTGCTTTACAGTATCGAAGACCAGCAGTCCACATTTTACATATGCTTGCATGTGCTCACACAAACACAGACTGTACACATTAGGTAGACAACCAAAAAATCCCCAGAAAGCACTTTCTCTGCCACTGTGTTGTTAGGATCAGGTATACATTAGTTTTCCTGAACCGGCTTAGTCCGAACAGGAGTACAAACCCAACTCTTGCTGTGTCTCTAACTGTGATATATTAACATCAGAAGTGTTATTAATCTCCCGTGAGGCACGGAAATCCATCCACAAGATGCCCGATTGTCTCAGAGAGCTTTTATTTCATCCAGTTTATGGCTATCCAGACTGTGACAACACATAAAATCGCATCTAATACTGTCTTACAATGCATTAGCTTAACTTCAGTTGTACGCTTAACACTGTTTTCAAAAAGTCATGTCCGCTCTTACAAACATTGCATTTTACATGCCATTAAATCCCTAACCAATTGCTTATTATTAAACAAGAATCACCTCCCAATGCTACTGTGTACTCCATTTCATTGCAGCCCAACATCATAGCTCAGGATCAGGCCAAAACTATAACTATAAACTAGAAGACCAGAAGACTTTTAGCACAGCACTGACTGTGCTAAAATACTCCTTCAAAATGTTCTCCAGATGACATCAAATGCAGCAATCGGAGCAGCTGAGTAGTACCCGAAATAGTACGCATTTGCTCCCAGGAACCTAATAGCAGCTAAAATGCTCTGCTGAGGAAAGCAGTGCCCAGCAGCTATGGGACTACATTGCTGTTTTCCTGACAGTTCTGTACCAGCAGCTTTCAAAATATTTTCATACAGCAGAACACCACTTGCATCTGCTTCCATCATAAGGATCTTTGCATTCTTGACCTTTAATCCCCCACCTTCCCTACAGCAACAAAATGATGGGCTGAAATTAAAAGGTCTGATTAGGACACTTAAGGAAGGAAGTACTTCCTCCCTGCAGTTCTCCAAAAACTGTTTTAATATCACTTTGCTCTCAGCTAACACATTAAACACAATGGAGCAGGAAATGAACTAATAAAAGGGAAAAATAAAGTGTATGCTATTTTATTAATGTGTTACATTAATTATTACTAGAGCATCATATGTTTACGAACAAAGCTTTGAGCAGAAAGGGTAGCATAACCCCACTTCACATGAGCGAATTGAACAACAGAATGAAATTCACAGAAACTCAGAATTTGTATAACGTGCAGTTCAAATTCAGAGAGCAATCCTGTGGGCAAATTCCGCAATAGATCTACTGACTCCCAGTTGTACCTTTTCAATATATGATTATTTTTCTACTCTGCTACAGTGAATCAACAGCCTTCTCCAACTCCTCTGACAGGGTAGTGACAAGGCTTATCTCAACAATGTATGTATTTTGTATGGCAATGTATTTTTTACATTTCACTTTTATATACATAATTACTGCCTTGTTTTGAATAGGTATGATATAATTGGATCTTGTTTATCTACAATATCCAGCACATTAGTTAAATCACCCATGAAGCCTGTCTATGCAATCCCTATTTATTAAGCAACAGGACATTTGCAGAGCGTTTCTGAAGGAACGTAACATGCCTTCAAAGTGATGGCCTAAAGCTTGGTTACTAACAGTCTAAAAGGTGCCATAATTAGTCCCAAATGCATTTTCCAGGGTGCTTTACCGTTAGAAGAGAATCTCCACAGATTCACAGGCTCCAGCTGTGCCAGCATTTGCCAACCGCTGTGCGTATTAGCAGCGGCACCAAATCAGGTGTAAGTTTAGAATTCCAGGTTTCCTCAAATTTACTACATCTTCAAGGTACTTACTTTCAATTAAGCACGCAGCATTTAAAACTTCAACTTACCGTTTCACTCTGAGATACAAGACAGTGCGATGAAACTCAGAAGCATAAATGGCTTGGGACTGCCACAACCAATTGTATTACAAATTAATGCACGGAAAGACATCAGATCAATTACTGCTCCACATGGTTGCCTTTGCAAATCAACTCATTGAAATGGAATCCCTGTCGCAAGTTCATACACTTTCCATATAGCATGAAAGGACTTAGGTACTTTAAACTTACTAAATGCAAATTGCCTGTGCCAAGATTATGCATTTTTCTTACAAGGGTGAAAATATTTTCCCCACTTTTAACTTTGACATGCAAATATGTACTTGCTAAAACCTTGTTCTTATGCAAACAAGGCAGGTGGGAAATATTTTTACATGTCAAGAATATGTTCCAACTTGGTTTCTCACATTCCCAGAGTTACTTAAAGCTTCCTACTGTGCTCACATTAATTGTACCTGTTCTGTGCTTACATATATTTATATGGTATATTTTCCAAGATTATATAAAATACTCTAATTCATGCTTTAGACTAGAATTAGCCTAAATTACAGTTTACAATTTCTGTCTCCTGGGGTGGTGCTCAGGCTGATTCTGGTTCCTGCATGAGCAAATTATTTCTTAAATATGAATTGCAGAAAAAAAATAAACTCTTGTGGTTGCTTAGAAACCGCTACAGATACCCAGGTGACAGATGTAGTTTGTATTCCCAGATTAAAGGCCTAAGAATCTTTCACACCCTGAAATAACAGTGCTCCAGAATACTACCAAGGATGTCCTGTGCCAAAGGCAGCAATGAATAGGAGTAAAAGCCCAAACAAACCACCAAGAGCAACAAATGCAAGCTCAAGCACAGAGACCCACCACAAGCATCGAACAAGTTGCTACAGAAACAGCTCCTGAGAGAGAGAAGTGACCATTAAGGGCCGGAGGTAGTAATCATTACAAACTGATGTCAAACACAAGGCAAATTCATCTCCATAGGAAAAGGCATCTAACATCCACTAAGATCTCTCAGTATATATGACTAACATGTAGCTAATCCTATCACTGGAACGCCTGGTAATCTTCCTTCTGCTGTAATGTCATCTGATCTTCATTTTACAGCAGGAAAATTGAGTGCAGACTTTGATTTGCTCAAAATCAGACAGAACAGGAACTTGAGCCCAAGTATTACAGGGGAAAAAAGCCTGTGTTTTTCCCCTGAATCCTTCTTCTTCCTCCATCCACTGCGTCTTCACTTGGCAATTGTCTGAAGTAGCTCTGGTATGCTTAAATTACATGATTGCCTCCACCTAATTCCTAGTGAACATGCCTACCAGACAACCAGAGAGAGCACTAAACGACATCGTTTCTTGGCATCCGGAATAGAAGAATATGCTTTATTCCCTCCTACGCCAGGCTTCACTTCTTTCCCCAAATCTGGAACGGTTTCACCAGGCTTGCCTGCCTTTTTCAAGCTCCGTCCCCCAACCGACCCCTCTAGACAGCCTCTCCCTCTTTATTAATCCCCGCATCATGAAATGCTGCTTTATTCCTTGTCTGGTTTGAGCAGTAGAGAAGGAAAGAAATCTAATTCTGTATTTGTAAGGAAATGCTCTGTACAAGCTCATCATAATCTTCAGTTTCTTCTTTTCTAACTCCTTGGGCAGACTCCAATCAGGACAAGAGCCCGTATAGCCAAGTAAAGCACGGGGCATCTTTCTCCCCAGTTCTGCCGTTTATGTAGCATCACATTGAGCCTCAACACAGGAAAGCGTATTACCAGTCCACCCCAAAGAAAACATTTTTCAAAATAAAAAATTATTGTCCAAAGACAGAAGTTTTTTCCTCCCTGTTAGTGTGTCTGAACGAAATGTTTGTTTCTAGTGAATTAATCGTCTTGGGGTAGAAAAAGGATTTTCCCATTCCTCCTCCTGCTTTCACACTGTTATTTTAAAATTGTACATTCACATACATCACATTTTTTCCAATTCACAACAGGTATGAAACCTCAGATTTGGTATCCTGGGATGGGCTCTTCAATGGAAGCAAAAATTGGTCCCCATTCCTGCCTTTTAGGTGAGATTCACCTAAGCTGACCTGAGCTATCTTGAAAGTTGGGTAGTTAGCTGAAGTTAATTGTCTTGTCTGCTCCTAGAGTGATGAGGAAGGGAGGAAGAAAGAGAGAAAAAAAGAAAGGGAGAAAGCGAAAGTGAGAAGGAAAAAGGGAGAAGGGGCATGATTCACTTCATTCAAGGCAAGCGA